GAGGAGGGGAGCCAAGGTGGAGATAGAACCCAGTGGTCCAACATGAACAGGTGTACGGAGCTCTACTCGTCTCAAGTTTTATAGTGAAGGTCCCAGGAAATACGCCAGGAAGGGTGTGGCTTGCAGAACATGGCACTTCGTTCTTGCTAGATATTTCTCTCGAGCTCTGACCGACACAAATTCTGACTCACACCCCCAGAGGGAGCCCTAAACTCAGGATGATTTTGAAGGTTGGCGAGGTGCTGTCTTCAAAGTTTTGAAAAACCCTGTACCCCTCACAGTATTCTATTTTTCACCTAAATTTTTTCCTCACACATTTAAATGGCTGCAAAGGATGCAACTCCAGGTTATTTCTTTCTTTCTTTCTTTTTTTTTTTTTTAAAGATTTTTATTGGAGAATTGGGGGATGGGAATAGACAAGTTGCTGTCCTTTTGTTCTTCAGTCTAGTTGTAGAGGATGTTGCTTCACTGGCCCAAGTTGGCACCATCATTGCGCTCTTCCCAGGCGAGGCAGATCAGTCGCTGGCTTCTGGACGGCTGCTCACTGCGGCTGCTGGCTACACACGGTAGCACATGGCAACCCACTGCCACAGGTGCTGCAGTCTATGCTGTCGCTGGCGACTCACGGCAGCCCAGCTCCAGGTTGAGCCGTTGTTCAGCATCTTAGCTGTGGAGGGCAGTGTCACTGGCCCTCATATTTGGGATCTGAACCGGGGCCCTCTGGCATCCCAAGCCAGCTCTTAACCACCGCACCACTTGGCCGGCCCTCCAGGTTATTTCAAATATTAATATATTTTAAAAAACAAAACTATTATGTAACGCTTGCCTCTGTATTCAGTGATATCTAAATACCATAGCAATTTGATATATACCATTTAAAAATACATAAATAAGTTCTTCTTTAACAGTTCCTTTTCCTTCATAAACTTGTCTTACCATCCACTTCCCTCATCTAATTTTATCCTAATATATGTTATGTTTGGAAGTCTTTTATGGATTATTCTTATCATACTTCTCAACAGCAAAAATATAAATTGCAATCTAAGGAAATTTTATATTCTACGATCAAAAGTCTCTAAGTACTGAAAAGTTTCTTCTGGTTAGGGTAACCATTGCCACTATTAATACTGTATATTTGATTAAAGCAATGTAAATATGTTGCCAATTTTGATAAATAATTGTTAAATGTAAGAAAAGTAAAATTGTATTGGAAATTCATCCATTAATGAGGTGAATAATGTTTTTATTTTCTAATCAGTTTATTTATCTCTCTGCTGGAATAAGACACATAATTAACATCAATTCTATTTCCTTCTTTTTTTATTGTTATAGATACTGGTACTAAGAAACTTTTTCATATAAATAGGTAGAAAGGAACCTCCCGGGTTTTTTAAAGCAAGGTCACAAAATTGTTTGAACTGTTGAGTTACATGCCAGAAATCACACAGTGATCCATCTTTTGTAATTATTTACAATGATCTATCAGTTGACAATATGATCAATTCTTACTGTCCTTCCTTGGATATGCTGGGTCTCCATGGCATTAATATTATCTTCCCCTGAGTACTTATGCCATCAACCTGTGGCCCTCCTGCGCTGAGTTCATGCCTTCAGTTTGGGAAGAAACAAAATGTGCAATAAGTTTTATTTGGAAAACAGGGATGGTGGAGATTTCTGATTTTATCTTTTAATTGTCATGCATAATGTGTGATTTATAATTTTCTGGAATTAAGTTTAAAAAAGTAAATTATTCTAGTACCTTCTAGCAGAAGGTTCTCAAACTGCAAGCCTACAGCAATGATTAGCTACTTTCTTGCCTCCGTGTTCACCTTACTTTTCATTCACCCTTAAACTTAATATTACGAAACGAATATTGTATATAAAAATGTTTTTCACATTGAAAATAGGTTAAACAATAAGACGCAGATTATTCTGAATTTCATAGTATTGATACTATGGTTTGATTTGCTTTATCATCTCTGCCCTCATTTTTTATCTTTTCAGAGTGAGCACATCACCTACCTATCTACTGAGAGACAGATGAGTGGAGGTACTTGAATTAAACCTTTGGGACCAGAATATATCAAAGATTCAAAACCAGGATGCAAAACTTGAGGACTACATGCTTCCAGAAAGATTCTACCTGAGGCATAGGTGAGCAGGCCAAGCCAAGCCCTTTCTGGTCGTACCTGAGATCTAACCTCCCAGCCTACATTTCCTGGGAATCAGATTAACTCTCTTATCTGACCTTTTCCTAACTGTCTTGAGCTAATATCATCTTCAACGGTGATTGAAATTATGTATTTCCAATCAGGTGGAAACAAACTTCCCTCTCTACCTGCTTTTTTTCTCTGTTCCTTCCACGTTCTTCTCGTCCAGCCAAGACGCTGAATAAAATGACTGTGTCTTCCAAATATGGTTATCAGTGAAACGGAAAATTTATCAGACTGAAAGTGTGAGTCATCATTCAAATTCCCCCAAAATTCTAGTTTATAACCACTCCCCAGAAATTCCCATTTGTAAATAGAGAAATCAAGAGTGAACTTCTTTTCTTTTTAAATCCACATCCCCATTTCTCAAAAATTAGTTTACCACAGAACTTCACCCAATGCATGTCTCTTGTTCTGATCAAAGCAACCATAAAGAAAGCTGAAAAGCCAGAACTTCCCATTACTTTTCTACTAATTGATTACATCCAGCATTAAACTTCACCGTCATGCAAAGGTTGTTTAAGGATTTTCTGATTTTACTCAGGAGTTCCTTGATTCCACAAAACCTATAGCAACAAAAGCACGAACACAAATTAGGAAGAATTCTTCATCTCAAGAAACCGTCATTGAAGCCACTAAATGTCAGTCTTAGGAATAACAGAAAGGAGGCATATTAATAAAATACAGCAAGTACAACAAAAGTTGAATTATTTGGTCAAAGAAAATATGCATTCAGATTTTGATAGATCTTGACAGATTTCCCTCCTAGGTGTTGTACCAATTTATCGTTCCCCCAGGAATTTATGAGGATGCCTACTTCCACACAGCCTTGCTATCATAGCATGTCATCCATGTTTTTCTGTCTGATAGGTAAAAAGTGGTATCTTGGTGCAGTTTAAATTTATATTTATCTCATGAGCAAGGTTAAGTAATTTTTCATATATTTATAAACCATATTTCCTTTTCAGTGAATCATATTTTCATGCCTTTTGTCCAGTTTTCTATTTTGGTGTCTTATGAAATTGTAAGAGCTTCTGATATACGAGAGAGATTTGTCTTTGATGTGAAGTGACAATATTTCCCCCCATTTGGCCATTGGTCTTTTGCCTGGACTAAGAAGTTGATTTGGCCCAAGATAAAGAATTTTCACTTCAAAGATTATGTGTTTGTGTACCCAAAGGAGCCTATTGAAACAGACTCTTATTGGAAAAAGAAATCTACCAGCTTTGTAGGCACTGCTAGGCTGGGGGGCAATGCTTGCAGTCACCAGATGGGGAAAAGGGGACTGAAAATTCTCTGCAGTGTGTGCAGAGTCCTCTCCGTGACGGGCAGGGAACCCTGGCATACACGCCACCTTTGGGAACACGTTTCTCTTCCTTAATACAGATTGAGGTGCACAGTCTGCCTAAGGCTTCCCAACAGAGAATGGAAGGGCGCTAGGAGGAGGGGTCCTGCCTCCCCTCTCCTGGTGGAGGGTGTCAGAGGGTAAGCAAAGCCTGGTTCAGACGGCGGGGGCCCCTGCTGTTATTCTAGCCTCAATATGTCAAATTTTGGAAATGTACTGCTGGGGCTAATCGTGCTCTGGGGGTTGTCCTGGTGTAGTGACAGGGACAGGCCCTGACCCGAGACTTTATCCACCACCCCCCGTTGAGATAACGCTCTGCCTGCCTGCAGGACCTATGCTCTCAAGTCGCACCCCATGACAGAGCTAGGGCAGGTTAGAGGATGGGCTTGGGGATTTGGAAAGGATGGGCGAACAGCCTCATCCCAGAAAACTTCCTGGGGTCTGAGATGGACTCTTTCTAGCGTCCATTCCCAGTCCGCCTCCCCGAGGCCGATCTCACCGTCTCTTCAAGAGAGGTCTGCCAGAACCTGTGCGCAACCACCTGGGCTCTGGCCCCGCTCTCAGAGCATGCCTCAAATTGCCCTGAGTTGTTCTGCATACGGTCTAATTTCCTCACCTGGACACACGGACACAGCGCAGACCATAGGTTTATTTGTATTTACCACCGCGCGGGGCAGAGCGCTTTGGAGGTACTGCTTCGGATCTCCATCGAGCTTGTCGTCCAGAGAGTGATGGATACGAGTTAGCAGGGCCGGCATCCCGCAGCGAAGCTCAGGGCCAGGGGTCTCAGGGCCAGGGGCAGGAAAGTTCGGGTGAAGTAACCAAACTTCACCCTGAGAGGAGGCGGTGGTGGGTGATGGAGGGGGGATAAAACCCGGAGGTTTCGGGGGGAGGGGGGCAACCCATTTGGTCAGGCTTAGGCCGAGGGGCGGGTGAGGGGGCGGGACCCTGCTGCAGGAGGTCCAGACCCAACCTCGGGGTCTTCCTGCAAGGTGCTCTGGCCTCTTTCAAAGCTTTTGGAAAAACAAAGCCAGGCTCAATTTCCTCTGAAGGCAGGCAAACTGGGCCGGTCCAGCAGCTCCGCGGCCACAAAGCCTCGGCTCCCAAGGTCGCGGCCCGCAACCTCCACCGCCCCCACCCCAGCCA